GGGGGGGGGGGGGGGGGGGGGGTGATTATGCAGAGGAGTAATGATGTGGGGAGGTTAAGGGGTATAGCCCCAACAAATACTTGTATTTATTTAGTAACTACAGTACACGTAGCACCAGCAGTTGCCCCCTTGGTTTCAATACAATAACTAGTCTAAATTTTTATTTTACTACAGCAGCTTCTTCAAGATCAATATCATTAAGACAGACCTAATTAATTCAAGGTAAACACAATACTTACAGACAATGAACTATTATCTCACAAGAGGCCTAATGCAAGGGTATGTGCTTTCTTTGCCTTAGGCAGTTACTGAAGCTGTTAAGTGGTTTATTGCATGTTTTCATATCGTCCAAAGAGATTTGGCATCTACTTTTGATTTATTTCGACTGACAGTACACCTCTCCGTGGTCTTACCAAGAGCAAGCTTACTGAAAGTCATGCTATCATGCTGTAGAAACAAACAAGCAAATAAAATTTAATTTACTGAACTATTTAAAGTTACACTCCGCAGGTGCCTGTCCAAGCTTGGAGCAAACACTGCATATATTTTTTGCAGCGGTTCTGTTTTTTCACGTGCATTGAACATTGGACCAGGAATATGATACCAGCAGAGAACGACGTACCTAAGTCCATTGAAAAGTTGCTTAGACTTCTCCAACAGATGACAGAACTCGTTGACAACCTTTCGTTCCTGGTCGTCCATCTCCATGATGTTGCTGTGTTGACAGTCGCCTTTAACCTCCAATCCTATGATAGCCTAAAAAAATGAACCCACAAAATATATTCCAGTGTTTACCAGTGAACGTTATATACGTATGCAAAGCCTAGGTTTAATGCGCTCTTTAGTGTTCGCTATGAAGAAATATATGGAAATTAATCAATGTTTGAATCGTCGAGAATATAGGCAAGTAAAGAAGTGCGCAGGTGCGGAAGCTGTCTGCTACACGTGAATTTCTATGACCGGTTGTATTGGTGCTTGTATGATACTTTTGCAAATTGTGTGTATTTGCGTACTCGATTAATAATTATTTGTGTTTGAAAGTTGTTATAGCTAAACAGCCGATAAGCATTTTATCTCCTGGGTAGGTAACTGATTAGAAAAAATTCAGTCTCATTTCTAGTTACCGAATAAAATAATCATCTTGTACTTTTCTCTGTCAGGCTTTGAGATTGTGAAGAGCAGCCGGATAAGAATCTAAATACTCATTATTCCTAGCACAGACTTCAAACGTCTGCTCCTTTTCACGAAACTAGTTCATGCAGACATTTATGGTGTGTTAGAGACTATAATTCTCTACCGAAAGTCATTTTAAGGTAAAAAAACATGTCAAAACTAAGTGTTTTTTCTTGATGTACACTGTACGTGTTTATTTTCATTAACATTATAAGATTTTAATTAAAGTTGTTGGAGGCATGTGGCATCATGAACATAATAAAGAAAGTGTCATTATTTAGTGCTTCCATTGTTGACACAATGTGACACATACTGGTACTGTATTGCCTTGCTTTCCAGAAATATAGCTTCAAGTACTCAGCCCCTGAACCAGTTGTGTTAGCACTCCTATTTATGCATAATTTGTGATATGTGCTGATGCACGAAAGTTAGAGGTAACAGAGAGGAAATGACGGCCTGCTAGGGACTCAGCTGCATGTTGGGAAGCCTCAAATCTTTTGCTTACCTCTCACCTCCTCCAGTTGCACACTGCTGAAAGGTCAACCAGTCTTGTTGTCAACACTACTGTAAATTAAGGTAAGCAGGCATGTAGCTAGCAATTTATAAAGAAGAGGGGTTCTTTTTCTGAAAAAGTAAAGCTATTACCATCAAACCATCATGTACCTAGGTCAAATTTTATCCAGAACAGATTTTTTTCTACCTGGCTCTCGGCCTGGTAAGATTCAAGTGCTAATCTACCAGTAATGCTCCCACGCTCGGCTGTCACCTTGAATGGATAGTAAACGATTGTTGTAAAATCGCTAAATGATATTAAAACCGGGTGCAAAAACTTGAAAACCACCTAGGACAACCTTGGACTGCCACATTAATCCAATACAATGCAAAAATAAACTATAACAAGTGGTTAAAACCTTCAAACCGAATGTCGTAAAGTCCCCATATACCTCCATAGAGACAATAAAATAGAGTAAGCTTCTGAAACAAGAATTGACCAACTTAAACATAATAAACTGAAACTATGAGACCTTTAAATGTGCGAGGTATGTCAGGTATTATTTCCCACCTGGAACCAAATGGTTGAAAGATCACTTGGGCTAAGCATCACTGCGTGTTGGTTTGTTTTCTGGCACATAAAATCCTTGTGTCATTATATGGCCTGTTTCACATATTCAGAAATCTGTTAATGACAGTCTTCAGTAATTCAATAATTACTGGACAAGAAAGTAAATTATGGCTAGATTTATTAGGATGGGCAAATGGTCTTTTAAATTTCTGTAAGGTATTTTGATGGGCCAAGTTTATTTGATGTGCCTCTCTGTTGTGTAAAAGTACATGAAGAACACTTTTTGTAGATTATATATTGAATTAAAATAAAGGTAAAAAGGAAGTATCATTGCCTTGCATCTGTGGCTGCTTCGTTCTACAGCTAGTCAGGATCAAATGGTTTTAAACATCCTGAAAACATTGGCTCGTGTGCAACAACAGAAAGTATGAATGAGAAAATCTTTTTGACTAGATAACAAGTAGCTGATGTAATGTTTTTTTTTTAATTTTTGTGTATTTGAGCATGAAAATGGGCTTTTGTAAAATAATAAGTGGAAAAGAATTAACTAAAAAAAATCTATCTCCAGAATTTTAAAGACGTTCAGTTGAGCCATGGCCAGCCAGAGTGCACCTCCCAGTATAGCTGTGGACTCAGTGCTGCTGAAGAGCGAGGAAATGCCCGAGGGCTCTGAGACTGTCCAGGGTTACGACTTCAACAATGGCGTAGATTACCACCAGCTGCTGAAGATGTACACCACTTCAGGGTTCCAGGCAACTAATTTTGGACTCGCTGTTGAACAGATTAATAAGATGGTGATTATGTTTGTGTCAGGTTAAAATTCATAGGCAACTGATTATGGCCAAGAACTTTTGTCTCCATTCACATAGACACCATCAGTCAACGTAGATCGGCTTAGCTCTGCAGGGACTCTGGCTAAGTACAATCAGCTTAACTGGATGACAGGCCTCCTCTTGTTTCCAACATACTCGTTTAATCACAAGCTTTTTTTGTGTTCTACTTAATGCCAAGAGGAGGCATGTGATTCAGTTAAGGTGATTGCAGTCAGCGAGAGTTGGGTTGATTCAAGCAGACAGTGGTATCTAAGAGGATTGGGACTTGTGATACATGTCTGACAGAAGAACCCTAATATTTCTCTACGTAAATGCAGTGTTAATCCAGTGATGTAACTTATATGCATGAGGCACTTAATGGAGTTATATATGGATGGGGGATCGGGGAGACAATGCTTGTGTTACTGAAGCGTATCATGTTGATATTAAACTGGATTAATGTGTCTGTGAATGTCAACTGAATATTTCATGCTGTTTTGCTTGTTTGTTAAAATTTCATGTGGATAAGAAGAGAGATATACCTGCATATTTGGTCTTAGTTTTTTTTTTTTTTTTTTTTTTTTTTTTTTTATCATAGCATTTGAGCAATGTCTTTTTTTCATAGAAAGTCAGGCCTGTAGCCAGCAATTTCAAAGGGAGGGGGTTCGTTTTCTGAAAAAGTGGACCTTTTACCATAAAATCTTCAAGTACATAGATCAAATTTTACCCAGAGTGGACCTTTTCCCAGCAAAAAGGGTGGTTCTTTCAAACCCCCGAACCCCCCCTAGCTACGGGCCTGAAAGTAGTTATTAGTATTTAATTGTACACATACCAGGAAGCAGCTGACAAATTTTCATACATTTTAGATTGAAAAGAAACTAGAACCCCTTCCAGAAGAAGTGAGGCAAGAAGCTAATTTCAACCCTGTTGGTCGCGAGAAGACTAACTGCACTATATTTCTGGGGTATACATCTAACCTGATTTCCTCAGGAGTCAGAGAGACCATCAGATATCTAGTGCAGCACAACATGGTAAGCTATTGGATGAGGACACTGCTTTGATGGCACATACCCTTAGTTTTTTTTTTTTTTTTTTTTTTTTTTGTAAAAAAAAAACAAATAAAGTGCTTGTGTTGTATACATATGTTGACACATTTCAAAGATGGACTGAATTGGTGGAAGAGTGGTGGACTGAAAGGTGTAAAATCGTAAATGATATTGTTCCCAGAAATGGCCAAATTCATCACTGCAGTAACTGTATGTGTTTTGGAGTAAACAGAGTATGTTGATGTTGTATAAATGACTTTATTTACTTATTAGCATATTGTTAAGTAAAGTGCAGGGTTGCCAACATTATTCAGTGTACAAAATTTGTAGATCTGTTGGTTGACCTGCTGGTAATACATGTAACAGAATTAAATAAGGGTACCTGAAATTCAAGATAATTAATATTAAATGTTTTGTATAGTACACCTGAATACACAGAGTTTTTTTTTACCGTGGATGTGTGCTTAAAATAACAATTTAACTGTGTCAGGTGGATGTTTTGGTGACCACAGCTGGGGGTATTGAGGAAGACTTCATTAAGTGCATGGCTCCAACTTACCTAGGGGACTTCCACTTGAAAGGCAAGGAGCTGAGAGAGAAGGGCATCAATAGGATTGGGAATCTACTTGTTCCTAACAATAATTACTGTTTGTTTGAGGACTGGATAATGCCAATCTTAGACCAGATGCTGGTAGAACAGCAGGAACAAGTAAGAAGTTCAATGCTGATTGCAATTGGTAATAAGAGGCCAGTCCCATTTAGTTTTATTGTACAATTTTAGAAAATGATCAATTTTTTAAAAATTTTTGTGCATCACACTTTGGTTTGGTAAGTAATTAGCTATTGAGCAAAAACAGAAAAATAACAGTGGGACTCTAGATATATATTAATCTGAAAGAAAGGTTTGAAGCAAATATCATTGCATGTTAAAATTTCCCTTGGTTACACACATGAATTTCTGCTGTTTAATAAAATAATTATTTCTGCAGAAAGTGAACTGGACACCATCAAAAATGATTGCAAGACTTGGCAAAGAGATTGACAACCCACAGTCTGTTTATTACTGGGCCTACAAGGTAAGGCAAATTAATCACCATGATTAGATATTAATTGTATACTAAACATTTCCTAAAAATGTATCCCTTTTGGTACTTGCTCCAGAATCATTATTGATATTTACAATTTTTTGCTAGGAATTTTTCAAGCAAAAATACTAATTTGTAGTGTTTAAAATAAAAGCATTTTTTTTTTCATGAAGTAGCACATGCCATGTATTTTGAGTGCTCACACTTTATAAGTTAATTAGTGATGTTTTCAGAGATTTACTTTGTTCAAACAAAATATTTCGTTGTTCTTCCAGAATAACATTCCTGTATTTAGCCCTGCTCTTACTGATGGCTCTTTAGGAGACATGCTGTATTTTCATTCCTATAAAAACCCTGGTCTGGTTCTGGATATTGTTGAAGGTTTGTGAACACAAAAAGCTTAGTTTTCTCTTTTACAAGGTTAAAGTACAGGTGTAATTTGTTTGCCATTGCATGTTGTGTCTATCCCAGAGTGTATTGCGGTAGGTTGATTTGAAATTTTTAGATTGTACATGCTTACATTACACATTCTACTACATGTATTTCCAGACATACGTCGGATGAATAGCCAGGCGATCTTTGCGCAAAACTCGGGAATGATAATTCTTGGTGGGGGCCTGGTGAAACACCATATCTGCAATGCTAACATGATGGCAAGTATATAATAAATATGCTGTCAAAAACTATGATCAATAGCAATGTCAGGGTTTCAGGAAATATAGATGAATTTAGGTCTAACCTATAAATACATGGTATGTAACATTTCTGTAACATCTGCTATATATCATTATATCCATTACATGTGGTTATTATTTTTTCCCCCAGAAATAAAAATCACATTTTGATAATATAATGTTTTATATGCAGTAGCTTTTATACCCACGTGTATTTGTGGATTGGTGTCAGTAATTATTGTGATTGGGAGAAGATCCAATGATTGTGTTAGGTTGGAAATGTAAAACACATTCAAGATGCTGTATGCATTCATCAGTGCCATATGCATACAGTTACATATAAAATATAGGGTTTTCTTAGTTTATACTACCTTAGGAATAAGGCACCCTTTGTGCAAACTTTTGTTTGATGTGGTAATTTTGTTTATACTATCCTTGGTATAATGCACCTTTTGTACAGTCCTTATATTATCTGATGTGGTATGGTATTGGGTTGAATTTTGAGATAGAATGTGCATATTTTGAAAGTTATCATGCATTTAATTTACTTTTGACTTGGTTTCCGTTTTTCAGAGGAATGGAGCAGATTTCTCGTTATTTGTGAATACTGCCCAAGAATTTGATGGCAGTGATTCTGGAGCTAGGCCAGATGAAGCTGTCTCCTGGGGAAAGATAAAGAAAGATGCTAAACCTGTGAAGGTACATTTTTTCAGAATATCAACAAATGACCGTTTTTGTGTATTCAACTCTTTTTATACCTTTATTTATACACAGGTGTGAGAATTTTGTTTGCCAAATTTTGAATTTTGACGTGTCGATCATGAGTTTATTTTATCACAGAAATGGACCTTTGTTCTGTGATATTATTCTCATCTGTCTTATACATATATAACAAACTACAATGCAGAATCATTATATTTATGCAACTATGAGATAAAAATCCATCTTGCAGGTGTATGCAGATGCCAGTCTTGTGTTTCCTCTGCTTGTTGCTGAAACATTCGCGAGGAATTTCCCAATTAAAAACGGAGACAGAAGTCTGGGAGAAGGCACATCGAGCAAGAAAAGCAAACTATCTTGAAGAAGGAACATCGACCAAGAAAAGTAAATCATCTTGATATAAACTGAATTATTCAGGAATGAGCCCATAAAGTACCCCCAATTGCTAGTCAAAGGCTTAGTTCTGACAGAAGATGCAGTTTCATTTTACTCTGTGCAACAATATATGTTATATCGTCATTAAGTTAAACCTTTAACAATTATTGTCAGAGAAAAAAGGGAAGTTTCTGCCTGCATCATCCTGTTAAGCTTGATCAATTCTATGATGTTTTATAACTACAAAGACGAGTATCTCTAAGGAGAGGAAGAGCACTTCATGAAAGGTCTTCAGAAAAAAACTGATTTGTCATAATTTCTGCTTGGTCAGCAGGTTTTGATTAAATGCTCTAATATGAATACATTTTATATGATTACATGGTGAGTATTCATTCATGTATTACTTGTTTTGTTTAAGATAACATGGGATATTTTATGTAAAGCGTATTGTTTTCATTCTATCTATGCATGATAGCATCTATATAAAGTGTCAGATTTTTATTCGCAGTTAACCCAATCCATATGAACATTTGATTATGGAAGGAGATACCAGTACTGCTACTGAACATTTTAAAACATGCATTATTTTAATATAATAATAATGATATGTAGCCTCTCATACTCTGAAAACAGAAATGTTATATAACAATTTTTATTTAAAAAATTAATAAAAAGCACCAACTCGGGTTAAGCGTGTTCATTTTATTTTCTTTTTTTGTTGTTTGTGGTCCTATATTAATCCTTAGAAAAGAAAGTATGTCACCTCAAAATTAAATGAAAACTGTCAATACTAAAAAATACACTTTTCAAAATTGCATATTAAAATTTAGGTTTATAGTACAGACGGCTTTTTTCACACATTTTGTTAAAGTGAAATGTGCTTCTGTTGACAGTCATAGCGATAATTTTTTTAGAAAAAATTGTAAATCAGAAATAACTCCGTAGGAAAGAGATAACCGGAGATTGAGCCTCTTCTTCCTCCCCATTGCTGTAAAGGATGTGAAATAGCACACAACTCATAACAAATAAATGTTGAAAGTTTATTTCATGTTTTTAAAACGTCAAATAATGGTAATTAAAAACAAACAAAAAAATGCTTATTGTGAATAGTGACAAAATGATACACAAGGACATCACCTTTGGTGTTACAATTTTACAACCTATAAACATGTACATACAAGGTATTTACTTCTTTCACTTCAAAATAACACCATTACCATTGGTTAGCTATTGGCTTTTGGAATGTACTATTGGTAGTACAGAAACAATTTGTCTAATTGAAACAATTTTCAGCCAAGGTAAGAGGCCCGTAGTTTTCTCTTATGGTGGACTTTAGTCTTTCCATGGAGACATACACGTTTGTTAAATTCCCAGCGTGAACGTCGTTCAGAATGTTCATGTATATTTTGATTATTACTGAAGAATCCTTCATGAGATCTTCAAAACGCACGCCTCATTGCGATCTTGATTATTTCCTGAAGTAACAAAAGATTGTGAATAATTCTACAGTTTTCATTTTAAATGAAGTGTGCAAAGGCCATTTGTGAGAAAATAGAAGAAAAAAAAAACGATGTTGAGTCTTCTCACCATGAAGATAAACTATGTTAGTTCTTTAAACATTCTTTTCTTGCATGAAAATTATGCATTTAAATTCGAAGAAAATGCATTCGAAGTCACCTCTCTCTCTCTCTCTCTCTCTCTCTCTCTCTGCGTGTATCTGTTGATGTTGAGTGGCAAATAAAGACATTTACGAGGAAATCTGTCAGTCCAAATTATTATTTCATAATGCCAAATATGTACTTAAATAATTTTTACAATGATATACAAAGAAACGATCATATCCAATCTTACCTTTATGTTAAATCTTCCCCGGCAGTCATGACATCTAACCATGGAGACCAAATTTACCGAAGCCAACTCCCTGGAATATAATAATGCAAGTTTTATAATCTAGGGAGATTTGCAAATAAACGTTGATAAAATTGCTTAAATTGAATAGTATACAGTGTGTATAATCCGTATATTGATGAATTATGCCATTGTTTTGAATGTAAAAGTCTAACGCTAGGCAATGGCAATATATATATATATATATATATATATATATATATATATATATATATATATATATATATATATATATATATATATATATATATATTGTGTGTAGTTAGGCCTACTAGTATATTATAAGTAACATTTAAAAGAATGCACGTTTCTCCCGACTGCTTCCAATAAAAGAAATTATGAACTTGAAACTATCTTAGATAATAAGTTCATCTGGATGTATAACCTAGTATTTTTATTAAAAAATGATGGAAAAAAACTTCTCTCGAGCTCCTTTAAGTTTACAAAATGCTTTCAAGGAAAAAAAAAACTAAGAACTCGAATGTATATATTTTGCTAATACAGTAAGATATTATTTTAAAAACAAAGTGAAGTTTCACTGACCTTGCCGAAACCAAGACCGTAGCCAACACCGCCATAGCCGCCGAGGCCGAATCCACCGATACCAAAGCCCTTGCCGAAACCGCCAAGACCACCGTATCCGATGCCCTTGCCAAAGCCTCCGATACCTCCGTAGCCGAGGCCCTTGCCGAAACCGCCAATACCTCCGTAGCCGAGGCCCTTGCCGAAACCGCCAATACCTCCGTAGCCGAGACCGCCGAAGCCGCCGAAACCTTTGCCGATGCCGAAGCCACCAATGCGACCGATGCCACTGCCGTAGCCAACTGGATATCCCTTCAGGCCTGGGGCGGCGTAGGCGACGGCGGCGAGGGCCAGGAGGAGAGCGATGCACTTCATCATCTTGACTGTGGAGGTTGTTACCTTTAATGCAGTAGAGTAATGACAGCGTCTGTCCCTTTCCCCTTTTATAGGCCCCAGCACCCTGGTGTTCAGTGCGTGATGTTAAACATTTTCCAGGGTGTTCAAACTAAAGGCTTTGTATGTCTAGCGCAGCTTCTTGTTAGTGAATTTGAATCTTTAAATCTTCTCACCACAGCACGGAGGGTTTTACCTGTATGTGGAACAATGTTCGCTTTTCATAGTGAAGATGGGACCCTATGTGAGACCCATTGTAAAAATTTACGATACGAAGATAACAATGGCATTTCATATGCGTTTTGATTTTGAGCTGATTTGAAAATGGCTTAAATCTAGTTAATTTTCAAAGGCATGTGGCCGAATTTTTTGTATCAAAAGAAATAAGCCTAGCCTTTTATTATTATTATTTAAGAATTAAAAAGGAATGTAAAGCTCGAAATGAATTTGTAAAGAATATTGCAAAACTTTATAAAAGCGCTCTTCCAATTTAGCAAGCACAAATATAATTCCGACAAAACGAATATTATTTTAGAAAATAAAACGTTATGAAAACACACTTTTGGACTACTGATGAAATAAAGAATGAAGATCAGATTGAGTTTTAAGTTTGTAATTATGATTTTTTTTTTTTTACAAAAATGTTGATTAAGACGACCCAATCACTATTGTAACATGAAACTCGTTTTTGACAGCTTTTAACAATGTACAATTGGGGGTGATTAATGGTACGATTAATAACACCTTGTTAGCGTTCGTTATCATCTTATCATTTCATTTCAACGCGCATCTCACGTGTTCGCTCTTGACACGGGATAATAGACACTGTTTTAAGCATACACTATATGGTCTGATGAGAAAGAAGACGACCAATAGTATACGTGTAATTAGCACTTTGAAGTGGGGACGTCCATTTCAATTAGCATTTCATTCATAATTGTCTTAGGCGATGGTCCTCTCTGTATCAGAAAATTCACAAAATGACAAGCTAACTTGGCAGTTTGACAGCAAACACCGGGTTGCCCAAGAATATATGTTTTACGTGTAACATCAAACAAATGCCATTCACGCTATACGCAAAATTTCTTTTCCCTCTGTATTAAAAATTAAGGTACCTTGCATGGTTTGACATGGTTTTAGCAATGTTTTTTAGAGAAAGATAAAGAACCTGTTTTTATTCCGATTGTTCCCATTTATCTAATTCGCTCTAGTTGTTATTAAAAATTAAGGTACCTTGCATGGTTTGACATGGTTTTAGCAATGTTTTTTAGAGAAAGATAAAGAACCTGTTTTAATTCCGATTGTTCCCATTTATCTAATTCGCTCTAGTTGTTTTGCTACATGTACACACAATGGACAATAGAAGTGTCAATAATCAACGTAGGCAGATCTTGAGTAGTGATAATGCCTGGTCTACATTATTTATTTTTTTGGTAAATTTGATGTTAATAAAATGATACCAGGAGCATATCATTCCACAGTCATTTATCTCCCCCAAAGTATTGGTTCAGTAGGGGTGACACTTCTATTGTCCATTGTGTGTATACTAGTTTATAAATGTCGTAGTTAGGAAATTTATTTTAAGAGGTCGAAGAAGTGCTGTTTAATAAAATCGAAATTACTCCTGAGACACAGGTTGTATAGGCTTATAATGCAAAGTGTATATTAACAAGAATTCGCTGTTAGTTAATGATGAAAAATCCTTTGCATTAATCTGTAATATAAACTGAGAGCAAAGATATTGGTCAAGTTTTGGAGAAATTTATTGTCCAAAATCAGAAACTTAGTTGAAATCGTTGGCAATTCTTTTTCTTCTGTCTATGTGTGATTTGTGAAAAACAAAAATTATCCAGTCTATTATTACAACACTGTTCATACATTACTCACACCATCAGGTTTCTGATTAATAACCACAAACTAAATGATAAATAATTGATCACAGTAAATAAAGTTAAACGTAAAATTGTCGTGTTACATGTATATATGGCATTAATTTAATTTCATGGGAAATTAAATAGATTTAAAGATATAAATTACTTACAAGAGTAATGTTGTAATCATGCCACACTGCATACTGATCGTTTGTTTCATAAATGCTGAACGCGCTCAGGGAATGTCGATGAAGATAAAACAAAAGTTATGAATATGATTGAAGACTATCACGCACTGAAGATACTATAAAAAAGAAAGACGCAGATGCTGTCATCATTCGACTTAATTGCCGTTGCGCAGTCACTAAGCTAACCCCCACAGTCAAGATGATGAAGTGCATCGCTCTCCTCCTGGCCCTCGCCGCCGTCGCCTACGCCGCCCCAGGCCTGAAGGGATATCCAGTTGGCTACGGCAGTGGCATCGGTCGCATTGGTGGCTTCGGCATCGGCAAAGGTTTCGGCGGCTTCGGCGGTCTCGGCTACGGAGGCATCGGCGGTTTCGGCAAGGGCTTTGGCTACGGAGGTATCGGCGGCTTTGGCAAGGGCATCGGATACGGTGGTATTGGTGGCTTCGGCAAGGGCTTTGGCTTCGGTGGCTTTGGCCGTCTTGGTGGTCTCGGAGGTTACGGTGGACTTGGTTACGGCAAGGTAAGCAGTTAATTTCATTCTTAGATCATTGACATAAAATACAAAAAGATTTAGTTTTGAATTAATAATATGCTTTATTGTAAGAAAACAATCCATTCAAAAGATCGGCTATTTTTTCTCAGTTTCGCAACATTGCGGTATTTACTGTACTTCCGAAGTATAAATATGAAGAAAAAGACATTTCATAGATTAAAGGTTGTGAGTATATTTAACTCAACAAATTGTTTCGTCGTTTTTCAGGGAATTGGCTTCGGCAAAATTGGTCTCCTTGGTTAAATCTGTTAAATTTGCGGTCGAGTGAGGACCGATCGGTAAGTAGGCTATGATGATGCCTTATTTTTTATTACCCGCGGCGTAGTCAGGCAAGTCAATTTTTTTGAACCCGACTTTCTGATAATAAGCTACTTCTGCTGCAAACTAGTGCAGGTTCAACATGCATTAAATTCGGGCCTTGTATGTGATGAATGTACGCTCGTTTGTGAAATACAGTATTATTCAAATGTGTTTTCTTTGGTTCATTGGAGAGAGATGGAGAGGGGGGGGGGCTGACAATGCCAGTCACTGAAAATAAAAAACTATATATCATAGTAAAGTTATGTTAAAAATGATATAGGGATCTTCGTACACTATTAATTTTAAAAGTCACACCAAATTGTATTATTTCTCATATGTTTGAAGAAAATCATATTGTCGTTCTAGGACTATCAATAAATATGCCTTGTATTACCAAACTGTTTACAACGCTATTTTTTTTTTAGTCCGGACTCTTGACGAATACCCTTTTGTGAGTCCTGCTGGAGTTGCATCCATCATTTCTAATAACACATATACCATATCTTTTTGGGGCCTAAGGACGTCCAGGCTGATAAAGAATGACCGCGACGTGAATACTGACACACAGCAGTTGCATTGAATACGTCAAGACTAAGATTTCACTGCCGTCTTGACTTGACTGAGATGTACGTGAATTGATGCATACGAACTTACTGTTAAACATACACATTGTTATTGATTTTATTAAATTGAATTTTTGTATGAATATAATTCTTGTCCAATTTTCAAATGTGTATTTTTATCTGTTACGAATTTGTGTTGAGACAGGAATAAAAAAACCTTTTTTGAAAATATACTTCCAAGTCTTACTGTTTGCTTTCATGGTGTTTTCAGTTTTTTTAAACATACTGAGTTATAATAATAATAATAATAATAATAATAATAATAATAATAATAATAATAATAATAAAATATTTCTTCTTATTATTATTATTATAAATGAACGACGCCTAAATTGGGAGGGAATAGATTAAAAGAAATACGTGTTGAAAGCTTTCTATATAACCAGCACTGTTACGATGTTCCTTTTTTGTTCATACCGTATCTGAGAGCAAATCATTGGTGCATATTCCTCCGAGAAATGTTACAGGTTTTTATTGCCTTTACGATACTATTTTCCCATGTCTAATATGAGCTTCATCTTTTCGAAACCTTATTCAAGTATCCATCTACTTCTATAAAAAATCTAAACGCGTATTCTGTGAAATATAGTGCGTGAACGTTCTCCATTAAGCTACGGGTAGTTGACCTCTGTATCTGTAGTAAGTGCATTATTGGTCAAAACCAAAGAAATTAAGAGAGGTGTTAATCGTAAAGATGCTCTTTAACTAGGGGTGAACAGAACTTCAGTTTGTTCGCTGGGCCAGGTCAAGCTTTTGCAAGTACATTATAAGTATATTATACAAACCACGCCCTTATGTCCCGGGAACGCATAAAAGCATACTTACATTTAATCATATATTGTAAACATGTACGAGTGTTTTTGACAGCCAAGCATAAATATTTGCCCAAAAGTAAAATAAATCTCTATTTATCATATTGTTTTATTTACCCGGATTCAATAATGATGCATTGCACTTATGAATAACCATACCATAAGTAAGGAGTATTTTAAACGCACGAATTGTCATCCGAAGGCTGGACAAACACATGTGTTGACAGTATCTGCTAAGATTATTGAAGAAATCTAATGTCTCTTACAGAGTGTTTTCAACTGTAAACCTCAGCGCCACGGTCTCCAACAGTCACTAACAAGTATGCAGAATCCAAAGGAAATGTCAATTTGAGAGGAAATAAAGAAGAATTAACTTATTTACTTTTTCAATGTTGTTATGGATATTATATTCTTATATTTTGTAAAAGTCTGTTGTACGACTGAGGGGTTCTCGTAACATACAATTCAGGAATATTGTTTTACAGTGTATCTATGTACATATTCCCACTCCCTGTAAGGGCCTTCCTAAATTCTTTACATTTCATCACTGTCGAGAGATAGGAAGGGATGTTCTTAAGTAGGACTTTAAAAAGGTCGATTATAGGGGAAAATATTTTAGTCTGTAGACCAGACAAAATGTATGCTACTGCTTTCTCGGTGTCTCGCCATATTCATAGTAATTGATATGGATGTGGGTGGATTTAAAACAAAGAGATCAGTAAGGAGTAATTAACGTTTGGATGTGGCGACTTTCTTTCCATAAAGTTCTTCACCCATGTCTACAAAGATAGACTTCGATGGCCCGATCTGAGACAGAAAGGGACCCACTCTCATCAGTTGATTGTAGGTTTAAGAGACTGGAAGAGGAATTCCCACGCTGTAAAAAGACATTTGAAACTTTAAAATTCACGTACACCTTTTTTATCATGGGTGTTTTAATGAAGAAATGGCACATTGCTGTGTAAACTGCTGAAAAACTGTTAGAATGTGTATCAGTCGGACTGTACCATTGAAAAAGTGGACCCCTTTAGAAAAATAAATGGTCGAATGCCCACAAATATTTTTTGGGGGTTTTATCTTCATTTGAAAACGGTTTCCCTCTTTTTTTTTCGTTTCAAAGTATTCACTTAGTTTACCTTTCAAATTCATATGTGGGCTTGTTGGATGAAAATATGTTGGATGACAATATTGATGTGAACTTTGGCATATTCAATTACGAGCGACAAAAAAGAATAAGACAGATGAAACAATAGTGACTTCCAATACACTTTGTCACTACATGTAACACAAAGCCACCGCTTTCTCTATCAGACTCTAGATTCCGGCAACCTAAGATCCCTACTCAAAGGTCAACTGGTCTTTTCAGTAATTTGGTCGGGAATCACCGTGATTTGCTGACCTGCTACCATAAATCGTAGTATAGTTAAATAGATAAATTGCACATGTTAATATACTATTAACTACAGTCACCCTGGGAAGGGCACATACTAAAAACTTTGGCGTGCGAATTAGTGATGGTTATCAGCCCTTTTCTAGAAAATATCAGTCGCCATGAAGCTCGTCCATTACCATGATTACAATACGGACTTGTTAAATAAATTACACGCGACAGTCCACCTCATAAGTTCATATGATAAATCTCACATGTCACGCGACACGTAGAGACTGTGCCAGCATAGGAACAACGTCTTCTCAGATAATTCAGGACTATTTATACATTTATAGACAATAAGACACGACCCTTTTATCTGTGGATCATAAAATCCATAACGCCCATTGTAAGTTAATTAGTACATCGTCATTCACAGACACTGTGTCGCTCACAGGGATCTGTTTGCATGCAGCAGGGAGCAGCAGGGGTCTTTTGTAATAAAATAAGGAAGAGTCCAGAACGTCGTTAAATCATATTTAAATCTATTCACTTATCAATTATAATTTGTTGTTATACAACAATTTAGCTATTAGACTGTACACGCACAGTGCAGACTATAAAATGACCAGCGGAGAACATTCCTGCCACATTTAGCTTCAAGGTGCTCACACTGCTCAGCTAACCAAACTCTACATCCAAGATGATGAAGTGCATTGTTTTCCTCATGGCTCTCGTCGCCGTTTCATACGCCGCACCCTTCGGCGGTATCGGTGGCTTCGGAGGCTACGGCGGCATTGGAGGCTTCGGAGGAATCGGCGGATACGGCGGTCTGGGCGGCTTTGGCGGTCTTGGAGGCGTTGGTTATGGCGGTATTGGAGGCTTCGGCGGCTACGGCGGTCTGGGAGGCTTTGGCGGAATCGGAGGTTTTGGAGGCTTTGGCAAAGGATTTGGTGGTTTTGGAGGCTTTGGCAAAGGATTTGGTGGCATTGGATTTGGTGGCAAGGTATGTGTCAAAGTTTGTTTATTCTTACGAACAAAATTTACATAGTTTCTTAGAAATAATGACATTGTGTACTTAATAAAATCAATGATAAGATAAACCAAAACGAATATTTTAGAGTTGAATATTGTCCTTTCCTCTAATATATTTAAATCACCTTTCAGGGATTCATTGGTTAAGCATAGAACGGAATTACAGACACAGAAAACAGTATCAAAAGGCAGCAACGGAACCAGCGATATTTCACATCACAACTTTGTTGATGTATGGCTTGGATTAGCTAACCTGATTAAAATCATTGGGTGCCACGGGTCCAAATCACACCTTTCATAAACTATCCAGAAAGGGAATATTGCCCTGAACAATGTATGCACAAGGGCCTTTAAGATTAGAGCATTTTTGTTCGTGCCAGTGCACTTCCAGGGATGAAACTGTACACTTCGCACGCTTTGATTGAAGTGGTTTCATGTGCCAATTTAGACAAACTGTTCTTATTCCAATGAGCTTCATTTCTAGACTGCAGTTATTCTTTTTTACATAGATATCTGTCTTCAGTAAGAAGATAATTGGTGAACACACGAAGACAAAAATAAATTATTTTGAAATATATGTTCTGTTCACTGTTGTATTATGGTGATTAGGAAAAATACTCAATGTAAGCTTACAGTATCGGCGAAGAATCACAAAAATGACAAGGATGGAATACTGAAACACCAATACCGAGTCATATCCATACACACTCAAACACAGGCACTAGGATAGACGCAAACACGAGTGCACGAGCGAGCGCACACTCACACACACACATACACGAACTGAGGAAGGCAGACCCTGAACTGTTGTATTTCATACGTAGTGATGAAAATATCTAGCTCATAACACTGTATGTAATTCTAGTACTCTAAAATTGTTCAGCACCTTTACATATATGTAAACATTGAAAAAATATCAGGAAAAAAAGATTTCTACACGAAAAAAATAATAATAAAACAGGATGCCACACGCTCTTTTTTTTAATAAGTTCAACCAATCAAAAAAGTGAAGCTCAAGAGAGAGCTTGTTTGCCTTTAATTCACCTTAGTAATTAAATTGATATCAACGTAAAAAAAGTACGAACAACAAAGAAAAAACACAAAATGTTGATAGCGGCCTCTTTAGTTAAAAGGAACGTTGAGTTCTGTGTATTCGTGCAGAGGTTGACTACAATTTCTTCATCAGAACGGCTTTGGTTCTTTTTCAAATGTTTTTCCCCGTGTTCAGTGTGGTCACTACTTTTTCATTCGTCCACACATAAAGGATATCCACTTTTCCATATTGTCATTTGCTCCATTCAGAATAGGGGACTAACTAGTCCGAGGGTCAAATATGGCCGACCCACTTGAATAATTCCCCACGCTATATCTATTCAGTATCTATTAGCGGATTGGATGGCAAGCTTTGTAGTGGGTCGCCATATTTGACCCTCGGACTAGTAAGTCCCCTATTCTGAATGGGGCCATTGTGACCTTTTCAAATGTCATCGTTGCCCCACAGCTACTTCAGTCTAATGACGTAAGCATGGTACATATGTATATTCAAGTCATAGACTATATTGTTAACTAACCACCTGCAAACTTTTTTATTAGCCAACAAAACTTAAAATCTATGCCTTCAATATAAACACTAAAACCCTTATTAAAGTCGCAGAATCAATGGCAATAATCACAATCGCGACAGTCGTTACTTCCTGGTCTACTTTTTGCCGTGGATTATCGGAAGGATAACACTGAGCTTTTTGCTTAGTTCGTTTCTAGCACACTGCGTAAGGGTGCGCCCAAGCTGGATCAGGTCTCTCGGACTAAAACAAAAAGAAAAGGAAGTATACCTTTGTAATCTTCTTTCGTTCGTTTATTTTTGATTTTGTTTTAAGGGAATCGGGTGGTGGAGAGAGAAAGAGAGAGAGGGATGAGAGAAAGCTTATATTATGTTAAGTCAAAATGTTTAATAGACTTGAAGTTAAGTGCTAACAGGACTAATACTCAAATTTTGCACTAGAGAATTCGATTAAGAATATGCCATGTAGATGATGTTGAAGCCTTGGACCCATCACATATCAATATACATAACTTATCGCGTTATAAATCTACCGAAGACTTACTGATAAACGCGCTTTAGGGTATCCATATTGTTCTTTATGGCGGCGCAGAACCCCCTGTTAGCGTTACACTCAGCCAGCATTTTCTCCCCGTACTGCTCCAGGGCATAACACTGGTTGGAGTCAGCGCGGTATTTACTGAGGAATTTACCCATAAGGCACTTGGTTGACTCGTCCGCAAACTGCTTGCCCTGTATAGTTGACAATAACAATGAATGGATCATGGAGTGTAGAACATGTCAGCAGCTTTTTGTCGTCTACCAAATTATTTGCATGAGGCTTTATAGAACTGTTATTTATTATTCTATTTATTTATTCAATTATTCATTCATTTTGTAAAGACTCAAGCTGATACCTTTGTATGTCATATTTTCAGACTTCTCACAAAGACACTTTCTGCATTAAAATTATTCATAATTACATACAATCTAGGTCTACTCGCTCACGCACTCGTGCGTTAAATACACGAGCAAGTTATTAACTGAAGTTATGCACATACTAATACGGAAGGGTATTGCTGTCGTATTAATCTTATTGTGGGATTTAGAGATAGTATCTCTTTGGAGTTTCGATTAAGTCAAAAAACAAAACAAAAAGGCAGCATTGCGCTTCTGAATGTTCTGAAATTTAAGGATACTGACCCGAAATTTCGAGTTATTTATTCGAAAACTCAAATAGAATTAAAACAAAATGACAACAAAGTGCTCCTGTAAACACACGAACATATGTTTGGAAATTTTTCTGTTACAGTTATTATCTGAAACTCTGTTGGTAATTAGAAAGTCAAATGGAGCACTGATCCGTTCTTGCCTACCTCATCATCAAAGCTGTCGTAGTACTGCTTCAACCTCTGGCACAACCTTTTGCCGTACTCTTCTGAGAAGTTGTGATCGCTGGAGCAGCGCCATCTAGCGTGGAAGCAATTCCAGAATTCACAGTCTCCATCACGAGCATTCTGTTCGCACATGGGGTTCACATCTGGAGAAGAAATAACAGAAATAAGTCTGATTCTCTGCCTCCACAGCTGTTTTTTATATTGTGCAAAGCATCTGACCAACAATAAATATCTGGCACTACGACGTGCAATTAATGAATGAAAGGCAGAGGCCACATTTTCAAACACTATGCAAAAATGAATAAATAGTGATGTCAAAAAATCATGAAAAAAATCAGATAAATGCAATATTTCTATGTACTTGTGAATAGTGGCTGAAGGTGCTGTCTTCGAAGAAGTTTGACCAGCGGATAACTTTGTTAAGAAAAGAGTGTCCAGAAAAAAAATTAGGCTCTTTTGTGATACACATGTATTATATTTGGGAGAGACAAAAGCATGAATGAGACATCTCTAGCTTAGACGATTCAGGTCCTTCGAACTAAACATATGTATGTATGGTAGGGCAGCCATTGTAATTAAACTAAAAATGCCTTTTGATACCCATATTGCACTCCCAAATTCTAGCCCCACGATAGATTTTAGCGACTTACCTTCCGATGGATATATAGTTGGGCTGGATCCGAACAAAAAGTGGCCGTTTACTTGATCACAGACAATCAGACACAGTGAGAGAATACAAAGAACCTTCATCGTGTGCTGCTTTCCACTGGATCTGGACTTTGGTATGTGTACAGTATTCTGTAAGACTGAGGCCAGTTCTCAATATTGACGTCTTAAAATAACATCCGTAACATAGATGTTCCACTTTTCAGGCTCATGACCCCATTTCTGGATTTTGTTGCTTTTCCCGGCTTTTCCTGTTTCATATAGCACTGTTCAGTGGCTTTTAGTACATTTAAGCAAGAAGTTGTAGAGTAGAACTTCAGCTTCTTGATTTAAGACATTCGGGCTCAGTCATAAATATTTGCATTGTACACTGTACTACTGCTACTTTGTTGTGGAAGTCGTTAATGAACAAATGTTACAAAAATGTGTTACAGCTGATCGATGTTATTATATCATTATGCTTCATTAGAGGCAATGTCCGGGGGAAATTAATTTAAATAATGATATTTTATTTATCATATCTAGATATTGTCTGGTTATTTAACTCATAAATTGCAAAAAAAAAAAAAAAAACCGAATCTGTGTGGTTTACAAAAATTATCTCTATTGTGTTATTTTAGGAGAAGCATGATATTAATCTAAATTTAATATTAATTTCAATTTAATTTTACGCCCTTAGTTGCCCCCCCCCCCAAAAAAAAAAGTATAATTATGGGCTTCCTTGGGCATATTGTCAGTAGTTCATTGTTCACATGACAGGATGCAATCTTGATTTCCTTGAGTGAGACTGCTGCGGCTGGTCCCATCTAACGCATTGTCTTGGCAAGCGAGTTACACTGGCATCGGTATACATGTATTTAAATAATAAAGCAAAATGCTTAAAAAGGATAAAAATTGTATTTATTTACACAAATAACACTATGTATAGTTTATGACAAAACATCAAGAAGAAATATGATTGTCTACTTCATCGATAGATATTTATGATATTTTTATTCAATTTTATTCCTAACACTGGCATTAATCAAGTGCGTTTTCTAAAGTATAGATGAAATGTCCCCATTCTTAGTCGTCTTTATAGATAAAAGTGTCCTCTGAATAAATTGGACACTGGTGTATTCAGCAGTATCTCACTGAAAATATTTGTGTGCAAGTTTGGGGTGTGGTTCATTTAGGCATTTTGGAAAGTAAATAATGCTGTACAATAAACACTAACAGAGGGGTTCAAATATATAACACTGGCAGCCAGTATAGCTGCAGTTTGTCGATCTCTCACGCTACGAAACGTAGAACACGTTAAAGGGAAAATATTTGCCAGATGTTCTCAGTACAAGGTTCTCTTCTCAACACTGCTACAACACAGCTATCTTGCATATGTGTTGTCGGGGTCAACACGTGGAAGAGAATTCGATTAAAATTGGTAAATTCATGTTGTCTCACACTAGGTAAGTCATTCTATCAAGTCCATCGTTCTCATAAAGAACCGGTTTTATTTGCTCTTTCCAACGTTCTTTTTTAGTGAAAGAATCCTTTCGGGTGTGTTGCATCTTGGCACGTGACCCTCATCTTGCGGTCATCCAGTGGAAGAAGCTGTTCAGCTGCTGGAGGTTGCACGTTTGGAGAGCTTCTGATACCTCGCCCTGAGCGTCCATAACTGTCTTGATGCTACAAAGAAATCATTGGAATTTGACTTAAGTTTGTAGACAGTGTATTAAATAACTCGTTGCCAGG